CTGCATCTCTGTTAGCCCCTTTATTATATCTCTTGCTCTGTCAGTTATATTCTCCACCTGTACCCCTGGGTAGCATAATCTAATTCTTTTCTCCCACTTTACCCCACAGACTATCTATCCACATGCCTTGTCAAGGAATCAACACAGTTAATAACATAACAAAAGAAAAGTGTAGAATGTGTGAAATGGCAACAAGGTTTTAAGAGGAGTTTAAGCTTTTACGTGCAAGGAATACATTAGGAATACTATTAGGGCTAAAAGTAATGAACTTAATTGTAATGAGCATACTCTGCTAAGCAACAGATTTCAGCCCTTGGCTTTTGTAGACGAGGAACTATTGGAGGGAAGGAAAACAAAAGGGTCAGAGAAGGATGTGGATGATAAGGAGGTTATAGTTATAGCAGTTCCGAAATAAAATAAAAATCTCTAGGTTCTCCGTGTTGATCATGTGACATCTTGTGAAATCAGGAAATGGCAAACATCGATGCAGGTTTCCAATCTCTTTTATTTTTTGTCTTTTTATGTATATTTTATTAGTATACAATAGAATGCAACAAATACAGCAAGAAGCATGTTGCAGTGGCAACAAACACATAAAGTCCAAATACAAGCAGTGCTGGGAAGATCAGTAAGTTTGATCAGACAACATCTTCACACAGTGTTGAAAAGATTAGAACGTTTGTCCAAACAACATCTTCACACAGTGTTGAGAGTGATAGAAAGTTTGTCCAAACGACATCTTCACACAGTGTTGAGAGTGATAGAAAGTTTGTCCAAACAACATCTTCACACAGTGTTGAGAATGTTAGAAAGTTTGTCTAGGCAACATATTCACACAGTGTTGAGAAGATTAGAAAATTTGTCCAAACAACATCTTCACACAGTGTTGAGAATAATTAGAAAGTTTGTCCAGACAAAATCTTCACACCAGAAATTGCTGTTATTGGTACATAAATAATATTTGTTACAGTATCTGATAAGCAAGATCTTGCGAGGTGTTCTGTCGTAAAGCACCCTTTTGTAACGAAGTAAGAAAATGGATACTTTCACATTATAACTGATCCGGTACACATGCATGTACTGGATCACTCATTCAAAAAATCTGCCAAATTATTTTTCCGATATTTCGGGTAAATTCAATCCAGGACAGTGCTTTCACATTTATCACGACATCCGACAGGTAAAATATCTAGTTTGAACAGGGCGTGAGAGTATATACATCCATAACCCACTAGTTTTCAGATTACGAGGGCATATGTCCATTGGTACTATGATGTAGTTCAATTACATCTCTTACAAGAGGATTGTTTGTTTGTTTGTAATTAAGCACAAAGTTACACAATGGGTTATCTGTGCTCTGCCACCACGGGTATCGAAACCCGGATTCTAGTGTTGTAAGTCTGCAGACATACCGCTGTGCCACTGGGGGGCCTTACAAGAGGAAATAGTTCTTCTATGATACGATATAAATAAGTTTTGTGGTTACAACAGATAATATATAGTTTGAGCGTTACGTTACTTAGCTATTATTAAACTTGTTAGTGAGAAAATAAAGATCAGTAATTCATAAAGCTAGTAACCACATGGTACTGGAGTAAACTGGTATACAAACGAGTAACACAGAAACGAACCGGCTTACTCGTGAGTTGTAAACATGTCTCTTCAGCCCTGTTTCTGCGTTAATCAATAAAACCTTGTTCTTTTCTGGTTGCTAAAGCGTACGCGTTTCATTTGTTGAATGTCCGTGACAAAGCTTATTCGGGAGTTTAGATGATCTTCGCACATGCTTAGATTTAGCACAAAGATGGGTTTGGTTGCTATGGTAATATTGCGTTTAAAATAGGGCGCTACCTGTAGCATGAAGCTAGTTTATTTCAGCGAGTTTGTGGCAGTAGACGCCCACGTTAAGTCAAATGTGGTTGAAAGTGATTAGCCCTCAAAAGAGAGTTTTAGTGTTCTTTTCTTAGTGCAAAGCGACACAATGAGCTATATGCACTCTGTCGACCGCGGGTAACAGCACCCTAATTTTAGCGTTGTAAGTCCATGAACTTACTGCTGACTTACCGGAAGATCCAAAAGAGAACTTTTTCTTCCTCAGACTAAATTAAAGTATAACGTAATGTCTAGAAAACTGTGCATTAGTAACTTTACTAAGCTTCACCCTCATGGTAGCTTTTCCTTCCGTCTTACTGTCAGCATGGTTACGTTGTCCCGGATGGAACATTTGGACACAAGGGGATAAAACTATCAAGATGTCAAATGATCAGCCGACCACTAACGTAGAAAGCGTTAGAGCTATGACTACTGACGATTTTGAATACCCGCGCCGACAGAAGGTGAGATAGCTAAAAGACAGTATATATTGGAAGGTGTTTGAATTTGATATAAAATAATTCTATTGCTATAAGCTTTCACATTGTTGTTAAAGTATTAGGATACAGAAGTTTCTGCTTTGTTAACAATGGAATAATTGTATTAGTTAAAAGACAACAATAAATACCTTTAGGAATTTTAAATGCTGCCGCACTTGTTTATGTTTAAGAAATAGAGTACAACAGAGGTCTTTCTTTGAATCCTGGTACATCTGTACTGGTTGGAAGAGTAGAGTACAGAAGTGATACTTTTTACTGATCCTTGTACATCTATATTGGTTCAATGAATAGAGTAGAAGTGATCCTTTCAATTGATCCTTGTACATCTATATTGGTTCAATGAATAGAAAATAGAAGTGATCCTTTCTGCTAATCCTTGTACATCTATATTGGTTGGAAGAGTAGAGTACAGAAATGATCATTTCTGCTAATCCTTGTACATCTGTATTATTTGGAAGAATAGAGTACAGAAGTGATCCTTTCTACTAATCCTTGTACATCTATATTGGTTCGATGAATACATAATAGAAGTGATCCTTTCTGCTAATCCTTGTACATCTATATTGGTTGAAAGAGTAAAGAAGTGATACTTTCTGTTAATCCTTGCATATCTGTATTATTTGGAAGAATAGAGTACAGAAGGTTTCTATTCTCTATTCTTCGAACTAATATAGATGTACAAGGATTAGCAGAAAGGATCACTTCTGTACTCTACTCTTCCAACCAATATAGATATACAAGGATTAGCAGAAAGGATCACTTCTATTTTCTATTCATCGAACCAATATAGATGTACAAGAATTAGCAGAAAGGATCACTTCTGTACTTTACTCTTCCAACCAATATAGATGTACAAGAATGACCAGAAAGGATCACATCCTGTTGTTAACTCTGACACATCTTTATTGATTGGAAGAATATGATACCAAAATTATATTTTCTATTAACATAAGCACATCTTTATTGATTGGAAAACATGTTACTAATATTACCCATTCTATTACTCTTGATGCATCAATTTTGGTTGAAATGGTAGTCACAGAACAAGAAACCTAATAATCTTCGGTAGGTAATATTTTTGTCAGTGATAGGATTATCGGATTTCTATTTGTTTTTGTTTTTTGTTTTTTATTCTACATTATACTCTAGGGTCATGATTGGAAGGTCGGAGTAGCAGAGAAAATGGTTCTTTCTATTAGTCTTATTTTATCAGATTGGTTGGTAGAGCGGAATACAAATGATGTTTTTGTAGTCTTGGTGTATCACTGTTGATTGGAAGAGAGAGAGAGAAAATTATTTCATCTGCTAATGTCAATGCACAAGTTTTAATGTACTACTTTGTTTATGATTATTGAATAAGCATACAGTTAAGTAAAAATACTGAAAACTTAAAATATATCACTTAGAATTTTCTAACAATCATCAAGTAAGAGAACACATTTTAATACTTAATATATACATTATGTGTTAAGGCTATCATCATGAAATCATTTATAAAGACATCACAACAAGTGGATGGCTAGGTTGACTAAACGAGGTACAGGTACAAATAACATCCAAACGTTAGAATAATACTTGTCAGCAGTCATATCTGCTTTTTCTACACTCTCCTGGTGGTTTTGTTTTTGTTTTTTTGCTACACCATTTAATATTTGCATACTTGAATTGTTTAACAATACAATCTGACTAATATGAAAGTTGTTTACGAAAAAAATAGATGAATTTTTTATTGTGTGTTTGTTGATTTTTGTGCAAAGCCGTTCGAGAGCCATCTGCCCTAGCCGTCCTTCATTTTGAAGTGATAGACTAGAGGGAAAGCAGCTAGTCAGCACTACCCGCCGCTAACTCTTGGATTACTCTTTACCAACGAATAATGGGATTGACCGTTATATTATAACGGGATTCGATCCCCTGCCCCTAGATTACGAGTCCAAGACCCTAATCACCAGGCTATGCCAGGCCAAATTAAATCATTATTTCCAAACGTACTACTTTTACATTCCTTGTTGTTCTATCGTTTGTCGTTTGTTGTTTTTTTTTTGGATTACTTGGTAAAAATAATGCAAGATTTAGTCCAAGTACCATTAACAAATTAATATATTTCCTCTTTAATGTTTGATATAGGCACTCTTACCTATACGCCTAACACCAAACACAAAAGTTTTCAACAGAAACTCCGAAACTACTGTGGGTATAATACACTCATAATGTTTAACCTGACTAACATATTTATTATCTGACAGAAGCACTAACTCTCAATGATCCGAATAACTTTACTCGATCGTACATGTTTGTGTTTTGTACGGGAATTTTCTAGATTCTGGGACTACTATTACGAACTTTCGAGATCTAGCATCATCATCATCATGATTAGCAGCTTCCTCTAACAAACAACTAAATTACAACATTAAAGATACAGTACAACATTTTCTAAATTTATTGTGTTTTTGTACTGTTCCACGGTAAGCTAAGACAAAAGGTCAAACTCTCTCAAGAGAAACAAAACTGTTTTGTGCTTAAGCAGAAACAACTAGTTCAATTAAAACAACCAAAAATGGCTCCTCAGATCGTCTATTTTTGCTACTGACCATTATCTCTGTAACAACAGCAAAACAGAACTTTTCAGCACAAAGTGATTTGTTTATTTTGGATATTCGTGCAAAGCACTATACTCAGTTTCTAATCTCTGCCTGGACTTCAGATAAAACTATGTCACCCACTTCAAGAGACGCATCTCCGTCTTTGCATATGCCCAACACGAAAAACGTCAAAGTAATTATAGACATAACTGGTGTATTGACCACGCTCAGAGACAGACACACCCAAACTAGACCTGACCACGAGTGGCTACCTAAAGGCAGGATTTTAGCGTAGTTCAGAGTTGGGCACATCGTGTTCAAGAAAATTAGCTTTCTCCATTTCTTCTGAATGATAGCTAACTTAATTTACGTACTAAATAATTGGTATTAAGAAAAAAATAATATTGTATTATTGATTATTACCGTAGCTCCGATTTGTAAGTAACTTAGATAAAAATTATTATGTTTGCAGTGTGCTTACTTAATCTAGTAATAACAGTATACCAGTTTATGTTCAAGCAACTCATGATAGAAAATAGCGTTCAGACATCTATTATATCTGTAACATTCAAGCCGGCCTGGCCTGGTATTGAAATAGCTCATTGGCACTGGATATAGTAGATATTGTACGATCAGACCCTCTATGTGGTTCAGAGAGACCTTTGCCACTTTTATCTTTTGGGCTCCTGGCTATAATAAAAAAACACGTGAAAACAAAATAAAACAATCATTAGCCCTGTAGAAATGACCATCCTTTCTATATCATTTATGACACTGCCTAAATAACTTTATACAGGGTATCATTTAGTTAAAGTTCGACGCTACACAATTTTAACACAAATGGTAACTAGGAATACTATATACTTTTACACCATAACTTGGAATTCAGTCATTTTCCAGGCCTAGTATGACCTAGTGGTTAGGGTCCTCGACTCGCAATCTGCGGGTTGGCGAGTTCGAACCCCTTCACCGAACATGCTCACTCTTTCAGCCGTTATAATGTTACAGTCAATCCACTTTTCATTGGTAAAGAGTAACCCAAGAGTTGGCGGTAAGTGGTGTTGACTTACTGCCTTCACTCTAGTCTATCACTTGTGATAGGACGGCTAGCGCAAATATCACTCGAGTAGCATTGCGCGAAATTCAACAAACAAACAAAGAATCATTTTAAAGCTTTAATGAGAGAATTATTGTACCATAATGGTACAAAGTCATCGGTGAATTGGCCTATTTGACACATGACTCCAACTATGTACCACCATATGCCCTCAGAACGTGTTAAACCTTCAAACGAACAACCTTTAATAGCTCAACTTGGGTTTAAGTGAGCCATTCTGGATTGTAAATCATTAGTCAAGGAACAGTAAACATAGCTTTAATCATCAAACTACCGACGTCTTGTTGTATCGTTCAATACCGGTCCTTCATAGTCAGTGATCTTATGATTTAGCATATAACACTCAGTGTCAAGAACTGATGAAGATTACCTAAAATCACCCATATTCTTTGCAAAATGCATAGGAAATGAACAATTTTATATTATAGGATTGTTTGTTTGTTTTTAATTTCGAGCAAAGCTACACGAGGGCTATCTGCACTAGCCGTCCCTAATTTAGCAGCTAGTCATCACCACCCACCGCCAATTCTTGGGCTACTCTTTTACCAACGAATAGTGGGATTGACCGTCACATTATAACGCCCCCACGGCTGAAAAGGCGAGCATGTTTGGTGGGACGGGGGATTCGAATTAGTGACCCTGAGCTTGCGAGTCGAGCACCCTAACCACCTGGCCATGCCGGGCCTTATAGGATTAACTGCAATATTTATGGAATTTTTATTTGAAGGTTTTTGGTAATTAGGGATCTTGTGACAAGCAATGTCATTGAACCACAAGTAACTTGGCACATAAGCAGTTTCGAAAAATGTGGTTTATAAGTGAATCTGTTCCCATAGAGGCCCTATGGATAATACAAGGGTTAGGATACTGTTAACCCCTTCCAATAGAACTTTGCTCTTATGCAAGAAAAACATAGATAATTTTCAACCATTTAGAACTTGTATATAGATACTGTTCCCAAATTAGTGACTCTTCATTGTTGATTTTAACTCAGTCTCCGTGCTATGCTATGAACTAAAACATTACTATTCCTTTTCTCATCATGACATCGGTTACAAGCCCTAAGAGTAAAATCATAGAAGCTTATTTTATCTATGTTTTATTTTACCTTCTACTATGACTATCAGCAAGTGCAAAAAATTTGTATATGCGATAAATTCCTGATAAAATTATAATAATTAAAGTTTATCGTATATTATAAACATAACAGGTATTTAGTGTTGTTTTATTTTTTTTTATTTTGTGTGTTCATTTCATCGTCCAGCTAT